AAACTTTATATCAATGCTATAATGACCAAGTAGAATCTACACATAGGCTGCTTGATGAGTATAGGAATCAGGATTTCCACAAATGTCTAGATTTACAAGACTCAGAATCCACGGCTATCGCGTTTATAACTCCATTGCTTAAGGAAATAAATAATCTCAATATTTGTATTACTGAGATTTATATTGATGCCACATATAAAACTACACGTAGCCATTATGAACTTTATAGCATCATTGCTGACGTTGATGGTGCTGGTTATCCAATCACCTATCTTATAATAGATACAACAAAGGCAAAAGATACAGACCCTAGCACAGGAAAACGTCGTATCATATTAGAAAAGTTCCTGGTTGCTCTTAAGGTAAATTATAATAAAATAATAAAAAATATTGATTAAAAAATTAAAAAAAAAATAAATAATAAATAAATGAGAATTTCGTTTTTCCTAAAATAAATAATAGTTAATATTTTTTTTGATTTAAAAAATTTTAAAATTTATAAAAAAAATTTTTTAAAATTTGTAGTCACATAATATAAATCCGCAATTCGTCTTTACTGATAAAAACTTTGTGGAAATCAGTGCAGCATCCAATATATGGGGTAGTTCTGTTGTTCAACTATGCGTCTGGCATATGAAACAGGCCATAAAACGCAAGCTTAAGAAAAAAGCAAAATCATCAGACGATTCTAAATTATTAACCGTGAATTATAATTTTTATCAAGCAGCTAGTGAATATGATTTTATCGATCCTACTTTTTATCTAACAGAAGAGGATCGTAATTCAAAATCGTATGTTGTTTACCTGTCAGAATTTTGAGAAATAATTTTAGAGCTATTACAAAAGCACTTCGATCTTCACCTATTAATTCCTATAGATGCACAAGGGAATACGATAGAACCAGAAGCTATTAAAAAAAGCGCTATAGAGGAAATATATAAATTTTGTGATGAGCATAAATTACGGTTCTTAAAAATCTTTTTTTTTTTTTTTTTAAATTATTTAAATTATTATTTATTTTAAAAAATTATTATTTATTATTTTTAAATTATTATTTTTTTTTTTGATTTTTTTTTTTTTTAAATTATTTTTTTTAAATTATTATTTAAATTATTATTTTTTTTTTGATTTTTTTTTTTTTTTTTAATTATTTAAATTATTATTATGTTTAAATTATTATTTTTTGTCGATTTTTTTTTTAAAAAAATTATTATTTATTATTTTTAAATTATTTTTTTTTTC